GAGTACCCCAGTTTGAGAAGCACCGGGAGAACACATTCTGCTCACCTGCCAGGCGATCAAAACAAGATGTGGGACTGTGTTCCAATATGAAAACATATTGGATGGTAGGAATGCCGCAGCGAGCTTATGACAACAAAGCACTTTGTTATGAATACATGCCGGAGGATCAAATCCAACTGAGCTGGCACCGGAGAAAAACAGTGAACGTGCGAGTCAGGCGCATGCTTCAAGGAGACAGATTGCGCTCGTTTTTGGTACATCGGCCTTTGTTCTTGAGACAAAAAAAAAAAAAAAATCAAACTTTTTGAAACCGTCTTGATCAAGTTGTCCAAATGGTGAGTGTGTGTGCGTCTGTGAGTGAGAGAGAGCATGTCCGCAAAGGAGAATGTGAACGAGTGAGTGAATGAGTGAATGAGTCCGACTGTCCGCGAGTGTGAGTCGGTGACCTTCTGTCTCCTTCCCATGGAGCCATTACACAACCTCCCCAGCTGAGAATGACACTCAACCGAATATTTGTTCATACGTCAGCATTTGAAAAGTCTCCTGTTAATACTGCAGGTCAAGTTGACCTGTGAATATCTGGGGGGGGGGGGGGTCTGCTGGGGTATTTCTCCTCTTCATGTTTATTTTTATTTGACATACATATATTTTTTTTCATTGGTAAATGCCTTGATTTACTACATTTAATTCGTTCGTGACCAAGCTCGTTGATTCCATCTCCGGCTTTCCTGTGTGGAGTTTGCATGTTCTCCCCATGCCTGCGTGGGTTTTCTCCGGGTACTCCAGTTTCCTCCAGCATTCCAAAAACCATGCATTTAATCAATGTCTTGATAAATTAAGTAAATCAGAAATGCATTCCAAATGTTTACGTACAGTATCATTTTTTTCATGAAAAATGTAAAGTAGAAGTGATAAAGCCAATGATTTGTTGATATTATTCTTGTCATGTAATTTGGGATTTATGTTGATGCCACACTTGTTCAGTAGAGTTTGATTCAAAGACTGCAAGTTTAACTGTTTAGCACGTCCATCCATGCATCCTGTAACAACTCAAATTAAAGTCGATGCATAACCTATCTCAACTAATAATTTGTGGTTCATTTGCCTTTGTTTTAGCCACAACGTTGATGTGTACTGAATCTGATCATTAGTGATGGACAAGCGAAGCTTCATGAAGCACTCGTGATCGTTTTTGACTCCTCTAGATGGCACTCTTGGTTTAAAGATGCAGTGGAATTTTAACACATTTTCATTGAACTCAACCAAGAGCATCATCTCGAGGAGTCAAAAAGTGCTTTATGAAGATTCGTTTTGATTCGATTTGATTATTGTGATACAGATTAATCCATGAACTCTTTTTTCCGGAGCAATTAATGGTTAATTTGTCATTATTTTAGCAGAAGCCTAACCTACAATAACAAAATATTGTATAATAAAGCTAATATTGTTTTTTTGTAATACAGACTGAGTTATTACTTGACTTTTTTATGATTTTTTTTTTGGGGGGGGAGGACGTTGAAAAAAATAATTGCAATCGCAGATTGTATTGCAATCACAGTATTTAAGGGCGAAAAGACTTGATTAGATAATTTTCCAAAACGCTTTCAGAGAGTGCCGCCACGGGGCCCATATTTTTTGGAGAGACAAAGAATAGAGTGGTCGCAAGTGAATAGCGGGGCACATACACAGAAACAAGCCTTCCCACTCACATTGGCACTTGTGGACAACGTGTTCTCTCATGAAGCGAACAGGTTGACATGTTTTTGAACTGTCGGGAGGAAAACCCCCACGCAGCAGCCAACTCGAACCCAACCAACCCAAACGTGCTAACTCATCACTTGTCCAACGCGTTTCTCGGAGCCCGACGTTTTGATGGCTTCATCATTTAACGCTACTGCGGCAGTACCAACCAACCGGGCCAATAATACGGTCTGCCCCCCCACACGCCCCCATGACTCGTAATGCGGCGGCACCCCCCTTCAGTGGCTGGCCGAGCGATGGCGGGACGCCGCGTCGTTACCTTCTTGACGGACTTGAGCGTGGGGACGGCCGTGAAGGCGGCGGAGGGCATCTCCCCGACGTTCATGTTCACGTCACTGCTGTTCTTGCTCACGGTCATGGCCGAGTATTTCTCTGCCACGTTCTCGGTCTCCTTGACGTACTTGGTGCCTTGTTTGACCTCCACCATTCCATCGGATGCCGTCGAGTCGCTCATCGCGTCTGCCGAGTACGGTGTCCCGTTTCGGGGGGTTGAGGGGAAGAGGTGACGGATGGAGGAGAGCAAAAGAGAGCGGTCGAGCGGGACAACCACAAAATGAACACTGATTTCACTTTGTACGTGATGATTAAGCCGTTTTGTGTCTCGGCGACTTTGTTTGAAGACACTCGCTCGGTTCTAGCGGCGGTTGGGATCGCATCCGTCCGCTGGCAGGCTGCATCTCCGCGGGGAGGGGGAGGAGGCGATGCGGCGAAGGGGAGGCGGCGAAGAGCGTCAGCGAGCGGGTCACCTGAGTGGGGGCGGTCGCCTCCATCGCCGCTGCGGTTCAAGCGGGGCAGGCAAACCAACGACAATAAAGCTATTATTGTACTTTGTGACTTGCTTGGTACTATTGTGATAGCGCGACAGTCATATTGCGTGTTTCCAACTTTCCATGGTTTCACAAATGGGGATTTTTGGCTTAGACAGCCACCCCCACTTCGCAAGCAAAGCCGGTAATAGTCCCGCCGTCTTCGCCGTGATTGGTCGATTGTGAACTAGTCGTGCCACCTGAGCTTCCGGAAAGTGTGGGGGTGGGGCCTCCCTTCTATCGGCTCTTTCTGTTCTGTGGTGGAAGGTTATTAAAAATAAAGGAGTTGCTTTGTACATGAGTTGCTATTACGGTCGCACATTGTCCATTTCTATGGTAACACACTCAGTCCCCGCACCTATTTTAAAGTCCAGTAATAGTCCCGCCTTCTCCACCGTGATTGCTTTGACCTCGTCTGAATGTGTCGATTGACAGCTATCCAACGACAAGTCGAATAATCAATTCCCATCACATCCACAAAGTAGGCATGTATTTTGACAGGAGAAAAGTGAAGCAGTGGCTTTCAAAACATTACGACTGTCACCTCTACAAAATACAACAGAGCAAAACAGTTTAAATACAAGCAATACTCACACACAAGTGAACTATTGCAGTTTAATTAAATAGGCGAGCAACCATTTTTTTTAATAAACGGTTCATGTAAAAAAAAAAAAAGTTTCCTTTGATGAGTAAAAATGTACAATTCAAAAAAACACTTGTGGATAGAACATTTTCCCTACAAATACAAACCATAACAACATTGTATAAAATGTGTCCAAAAAAGCCGACAAACTAGTTAAGTACACTGAAGGGGTTGAGGGGGGTCATATATATTTTCACAGGAGTTCATTTTTATGTGGGGGTTGTCAAGGCAAAGGAGGATCACAACATATGCATTCACAAGTTCAAAGACCAAAAAAAGGCTGTACCAGTTAAATGTCATTACTCATTATCGGCACTGAAAGGAGCAGTAACCAGAACTTCAGTCCAGGGAGAAAATAAATAGCAGGTGCTATTTGGCCAGAGGAAGCATTTCTTCAATACGGCTTGAAAAGAAGAAGAAAAAAAAAGGAGAGAAGGTGTAAGCATTTTAGTCCGGGGGAAAATAGTCGCCAAAAATGTTTGGCCAATGGAAGGACAAAAATGAAGAATGAGAAGTTCCAAAAAAGTGGGTTGTCGCTGCTGCTCCTGCTGGCCGGAAGCTGAAAATGGCAAGTCGAGGAGAAGTGCACCGGTCGTTGACCGATGGGATAAAGAGTCAAGCGTAGTCACGCTATGACACTCGGATCATCTGAGCCACCGTCTCGTCGGCCGCCACCTGTGCCGCTTCCTGCTGTTGCTGTGAAGAGAAACGTTGGCTATTTATAGCACATTGAGACCAAAATAGAAACAAGGGCAACCAACTGCTTTGACGATGATGTGACGAAATGAAAAATAACAGGAAATCAGCCACTTGCGGGAACTGAATCCTCCTGTTTTACATTTGCCAGATTGTCATCACTTGCAGTGTAGTTGTGGCCCTGGGCAAATTTTTGGGCTCTGTTAGGTGCAAAGTACTGTTTCTCAAGTAATTGATGCACGACTTGTGCCGGGAACATCCAAAATGTTTTGAGGATGCGGAGTGTCTATTTTGGCCAAACATTGCTAGCCTGCGAGCTAACATCAGGTGTACGGAACGCTATCCATTCACAGTGTCAATCGAGCACATCTCTGCCCTTAATCCAAATCCGTCTAAATTTCCACCACTTCTATTTTTGAGTCAACTGAACATTGAAATGCGAATTACGGCAAGCGTGCCGGCTCACTTCAAAGCAATTGACCACAAGTAACCTCTTTTTGACTTGACACGTCACATCTTCAAAGTACGGCAGTCGAGAAGAACTCAAATCATCATTGCCTTGGTCAAATGACACGCAGGGGTTTGATTACTCGTGGTGAAATCGGAGAGTGTTGCACCCTGAAGTACTGCCGCCCGCAAGTACGCGTTATGATGGTGACAAGGTGAAACTCTCGGTGACCCGCGATTGACCAGATATGCTTGTTACCTGTGCCAACGCCAGCGCCATTTCTTCCTTTTCCTTGGGTGAGAAGAAACGCCCTCCATCACCTCGCTTACGCTGCATCGCGTGACGGTGGCGAGACTCGTGCAAGTATTTCTGAGGGTAAAAGCAAGCGCTTGCTTTGAATTTTTTGACTGACGCCGTTCAAGCGGCATGTCGAAAAATGAGCCTTACCCTCCTTTCTTTGGGGATCTTGCCCTCGGCCTCCAGCTTGGCTCGGGCCTGGCGTCGCTTCAGGATGCGATGGTACTGCTTTGCGTTCACATAAAGGGGCTCCTCCTCCAGCATCTCAGCGCCCGGCAGAGGAATCCGCTGCATTGTGGGCACTGCGCCACCTCCCGGCACCATCTGAATACAGAACACTTTTTTGCATTAGGGCTGAAACGAATCCTCGAGTAATTCGGGTACCCCGGATCAACAAAATACCCGAGGCATATTTTCTGCCTCGAGTAGCTGTCGGGAAGAAGTCATCAAGCTCGCCACAGCAACAATGACTCATGCTCTGCATGGCAGTTGCACGCCGCCAACCCGGGAAGATGGCTCACTTTAAAATCAATCTAACCTTACCAAATAAAAGATGGACATCAATGCCTAGGTATGCTTTTATTTTGAAGTTGTTTTCCGCAGCGAGTCGCTGACTTGACTCGTTTTCCAGACTGTATTGGGGCCGTCACAAACTGTTCCTACCGATGTCAACGTCGCCCTGATATCGTGTTCAATCGCGAATGAAGGGCACGAAAAACTAACTTCATTACTCTGACACTGTATTGTACGGCGCCTGTTGCCAGTGTTTCGCAGTGGCTTTCAGTGTTAGCTGACAGCGGTGTTAGCCGCTCGCGGCTCGTGAGAGCTGTCGGTTTACTTTTCAAAGGCAGTTTTGATCGACGTGAATGACTCTGCGGACTTTGATGCTGACAGTTCCAGAGAGGAAAACAGTGTGGTGCTTTTGTACATTAAATTTAAGACTAAAATGTTGATTAACTAAAAATGAAAAACGGTTGTTCGTTCATTACTAAGTGGAAATGTGGGTGAGGTGTGGTGGTGGTGGTGGTGGTGGTGGTGGGGGGGGGGCATTTTTTTGTTATATTTAACCGAAAAATACGATTATTCGCTAAAATTTTCAGTAGGATATCCGCAAACCCAAATATTGGCTAGCTGCGGCTCCAATATGCTTCCATGTCTCTCTTAAAGCAAAAAATTAAAAAATAAAAAACATACAGTGACCACAGCCTGCCTCTCCAAGCTGTGCGTGTGATGGATTGCGATCAAAAAAAGCAACGCAATAAGATCCTGGGTACCTCAACACTGGGTCTTACCATGACCATTCCACCTGCATTGACCATGTTGCCAGAGACGGGCAGGGTGACGGTCACAGTGCCTTGGCTATTGCTGGTGTTGGTGGTGGCGCCTCCCGCCTGCACGATCTGGGCGCCCGCCAAGCTGGCGGCGGGAATTGTGATCATTCCTGACAAACACAGATCCTACTTTTAGACAGCTCAAAAGCAGAAGGCCAACAAACATCCCCATGTCTCCACTCTTTTTCTTTCTCAATTTACTGGTACCTGTCTATACAAATCAATATCCCCAGTGAAATGTCATCTATTCATCTTGCCCCATGCCCCTGAAAACCCCTTTTTTTATGGTGATGTGATTTGAATAAGAAATCAGCAATGGATATTTGAATAGTTTTTTGAAAACAATAAACCATCATATCAGAGAATGTAACGAGCCGAGGCCTCGTGAAGATCTCGAGTCCCCCGTTGATATAGGGCGAGATCTATTCCAATCAGGTGCCGCTACATTCAATCAGAAGCCGCCTCTTGACAAATACAATGTACAATACAGTACATCCTGATTTATATACTGTAGCGCTTTCACAACAGCAGCAGCTGTCACAAAGCGCTTAACAAAACAATTAACATAAAGTGAAATAATAAATACAACACATAAAATAAAACAGGGACAGTCGTGCAGTCCTAACCACTTTTCCCTCATACGCTTTGTTGTTTGAGCAGTTTGAGATGAAAGAGGAGAGAATCAAAGTGTCCTTTCACCAGTGGATCAGAGACGTCATGCTCAAAATGCGCACACGTCGGCTACAAGCTAGGTTTCAAAGTCAATAAGAAGCTGTAGCATCCATTGACAAAAAATGTGCGATTTTTTTTTCACCCATTTTCTAAATATTTTTTAAAAAGAGTTCTAACCTGTCAATTTGACCCAAATCATAACAAGAGTGTTGAAAGAGCGGAGCCAAATCAACAAAGCTGCCTGTTTTGCACTGTAATTGGACCGGTCCGTGTGATGTGGCGTGTGGCTTGGCGTACCCTGCTGCAGGACAGTTCCATCCGCATTGACTGGCTGGTAGACAATAGTCTGGCCATCAGCTGTCTGAGCCACTTGTTGGCCCTGCACACTGATCTGCTGACCCTGTGGGGAAGAGACGCTCTGTCAAGTTTGTTTTTTTCCTTTTGGAACAATGGATTATTAGATTGGAAGCGACACGGTGGACGAATGGTTTGCAAGTCTGCCTCATCAATTCGTAGATCCAAACTTTGTGGTTCGAATCTCGATTCCGAATCTCCTGCGTGAATTCCGTTGGTCGTTCACCATTTAAAACAAAGACACTGTCCAGAAGTCTGAATGAAAGTGATGGACAAGCGAAGCTTCATGAAGCACTCGTGATACTTTTTGACTCCTCTAGATGGCACACTTCGTTTAAAGATGCAGTGGAATTTTAACACATGTCCATTGCGCTAAACCAAGAGCATCATCTAGAGGAGTCAAAAATTGCTTCATGAAGCTTCGTTTTCCCATCACTGCTGAATGCTTGTCTCTCTTTGTGTGCCCAGACATTAATCTCTCCCCCCCATCACCCTCTCTTATTTGCAGGAGACACAGAATGACCCCCACGCCAAAGAGCGTGAATTCAACTCGGCAGTTCCAAGAGGATGCAAGTAGGCCGTCATTCTTTATTCGCTATGAACGGTAGCTCAAGAATGCAAAAAGGTAGGAAAACATATGGAATAAATCTCCTTAACACTTTGCCGGCGAATATTCAAGACCTGGTTTTGTCCGGCAGTGATGGCCGTCTGGGGTTGCTGGATGATGATTTGCTGAGGCTGGCCCTGCTGACCTTGGAGCTGCAAAGTTTGACCACCTTGCAGCTGGATCTGACCGGGCTGCACCAGCTGGATCTAAAAAAACAATGCATCAGTACACCAAATACGCACAAAGATCCCACGCGAGTTTCGTGCCTCACCTGTTGCAGCCCCTGAGCTCCGGACACGGGAACCTGCATGATGGTCTGACCCTGACCCCCCGACATGGCCTGCACCATGATGGGCTGCCCGGACGACGTGATGAGCTGCCCGCCGCTCACCTGGACCATCAGAGGCTGCCCCTGCACCTGCACACCAGGTCGACCACTGTCACAGCAGCACGGCCAGGTTGACTGATCTCTTTTATCCCAAGAATATTTTTCAATGTACAGTCACCACCGCCAATTGGCGCAATTTCCATTGCCGAACAGAACGAGGGCTGCAAAATTTGGGTAATGTTTACATACCGGAAACTTTCCAAGGGAGCTCACTCCCCAATTGAAATTCCTATGTAGTAAACACAAATGTTGATATAACGTGGGATGGCGACTGCGTACGTACGAGATGCATGGTGTTGATGCTTTTTTCTGTGTTGTTCCAGACCACAGTAAATGAATCAAACCAAAGGGAAGGAAGTGTGAGTTTTTAAACTCTCTGAACCAATCAGAACATTTGAACTGCATTTCTATGACCCTTTTAGTGTGAAGTGCACTGCTGGCACTTTGTGATATCTTTCGGCGATTGGAAACCCCTTTTGAGCGAAGGAATTAGTTAGCTGGAGTGTTCAACTTTTCTCCCCGTCGTTCACGAGATGCAGAGGTTCACTGTGGTCTGAAATCTTACGACGTTTTTATCAGTCAAGCGTTTCATCCCGAGCGGTGACACAATTTCCACGTTAGAAAACAAAAAGTGTCGAGCTGAACGAAAGCTTCTGCTGTCTGGATGAGCAAAGGGCGTGACAGGGAATTCATGCGAGTGGCTTCTGATCAAGCCGAGCCAAAAACCTCACCAAACAGCAGTCACGGCACAAAATGACGGCACAGGCGGACGCCGGGTGAGACGCTGTGCTGAGTGAGCGGCATGCGGTGATTTCAGACAGCTGGGCGACGCATGCCACGGATCAGATGCTTCATGGAAATACAAGCAGTCTGCCCCCGACTGCTGCATGCAAATGCATATGACTCCAAATTTGCTACATGGCATTTTCTTTGGTCCATATGAGCTATGCTTTTATTTTTTAATTGGGTCGGGAATCAGCCGACTTTTGTCGATTTTTCTCTCTGTCGGAAAGTTAAACAAATACCAAAGGACACAGTATCATCAAACAGTCCAATGTTCTGCCAGTGACTCAGATCATTATTGTCGTAAGCGTTAATGGGCCAGAAAATAAGTAATTTTATTCATTCTATATTTCTTTATTCATCCGTTATCAGAATTTTATGATGTCAAATATCAGAATCTGTATTAAAAAGAAAAATTCTAAAATTGTCTGCCTGAAGAAAAAAAACAACAACCCTAAATCGCATTACAAACATTTTTGTAGCTGTTTTATGAAACAACCTGCAACAGATTCATGGGATTCCCATTCGTTTCAACGGGGAACGTTGATTCAGTCTTTTCTCTGTACGAGTCTCCTGATTTGCTCGTATCTTTTATGACCAGAGTGAATAAAATGAAGAAAGAAATCCAGGTTCAAAACGATGCGCTTTCCCAACACCCCTTCTTGAGCCAGTTCAAAGTATTTTTTTTACGTCATGTTTTCAAAAATCTTGTTCTATAACGATTACCCCAAGGTAATACCTTGGTACTGGTAAATGTTGAAACATTGTGACCATTTTCCGTTTCTTTATTATGCCCCCTGTACAAGAACGGGGATGGGCAGGCGAACGTCTGACGTTACTCCTCTTGAAAATTTCAATCATGTTTTCAAAAATCTTGTTCTATAACGATTACGCCAAGGTAATACCTTGGTACTGGTAAACATTGAAACATTGTGACCATTTTTCCTTTCTTATTATGCCCCCTGTACAAGAACGGAGACGGGCGGGCGAACGTCTGACGTTACTCCTCTTGAAAATTTCAAACTCGGAACAACTTTACTGATGCACAACCAACAGTAGATGACATTGATGCGAGCAAAGATGGAGTCATAGAGGAGGCAAACGCCACTGACACGGTGGCGGCCAAGACACCACTACCTGGAGTGTCTGCACCTGCTGGCCCGAGGCCGTCACCACGGGCGCCTCCGTTTGCAGCTGCACAGCCGTCACTGTGCCCTGGGCCTGCAGGCAAGGCACCACAATGCAACCTTACAAAAACCAACACAGTCGTGCTACCTCGCTGGTAGGGAACGGCCCAAAAAGAAGCACAATCTGGAATCCGACTCAGAAGCCTTAAAAGATCAAATTTGTTAAGACTATTAACTGCCATTACCCTGCTCCCCTCGCCCCATTCTTTGAACCCAGCAGCTTTTAACGTGACACGGTTCATCTATGAATTGTTACTGATGGGCCGCTGCCAATACATTTACCCGTAGTCTCGTCACATCTGACCAACGACCTGCAATCTTGATACAGTTATTGCAAGTAAGGGATATGCCACCAACGTTTCAATGTTATTCACTTGAACAGAATTCAACAATGTCTGGTCCAATAATTTTGCTCACCTGAAAAGTGTGTGCCTTCAAACAAAAAAAAAAAAAGGTACTCTGTCCAAAGTTGTTTAGCCCATCTCTATGTAAATACCATGAAATAAAAGCCGGACTTTAGTCTCATATTGATCTTTTGAACTGAAAGCCAAGCGTTTTCCGTATACAACAAAAATAAATGAATTGACCTTGCCGTTCGAATACATTTGAATGGTACGATATGTTTCTTGACCATGTCAGGTCTGAGTGCCTGGGAGTGTTATTTGATTGTTGACTATCCACCTCTGCTTGGGGCGGTGGTTCGAGCTTCCCGAGGGATGAGAGTGATTGATTGTGAACTCACCTGCTGTTGGATCTGTCCATTGGCAGTCTGCACTACGATCTGCTCTCCGGTCGCCGTGGTGGCAGCCGTGTACTGCTCCATCGCCTCTTAACCAACACGCCGTTCTTTGACCGAGACACAAATTGTCAGGGAGATCAAACAGTATTTCACACAGCCATTCACGGCACTATTAGAGCGCCCCCCCACCCCCCACACACACACAAACAAACATTTTATTTATTATATACATTACTGTGACCACAGGGAATGCATGATGAGTTCATTATATCATGGTTAAAAAAACAAAACATTAACTACATGTGAAAATTACAGCTATGGAAAATATTAACATTAATTAACATAATATTAGGCACCCACCCCAAAAAAGACAATAACAACACTTTTTGGGTATTTATCTGTTCTACATGACAATATTTCTATTTGAAAATAATGTCAACAGTTCATAAATGTTTATTTTACTTCATGGTGATGCAGACTACTGCTCAACAGAAGAACTGGAAACATTTTAAGGATTTGTTAAAAAAAATTGACATTTCTAAGACATTTGAAAAGGAGATCCGCGTTTTATTTGTAGCATTTTAGCCTGTCTTAAGAACGCACATTTGGAAAATAAGAAGACAGTAATAAGACGAAGAGACAAGCCCTGTATTTAGAGTTGAATGAAGGAGCACCTAGCATAGCTATGAATAACATACGCGTAAAAAGAAGCAATTTCAACATGTTATTTCGATCGCGCGGGGACAAGGCGCCTTAGCTCGCTCATTCAACAAGGGGGATAAGGGGGTCGGGGGGGTGGTGGGGGGGTAAATAGGACTCGTCTTGGGGCTTCGTCGAGGAACATCGATTTGAAGGGATTTGATCCGGAGGGACGCTCGTAGTCACTTCCACCAATCCGCGATATTTGGCCAGAAGCCGTTCGAGGGCGGCAAATGGAGCCATTCTCCACCGTCCCTTTGTTCGAGCTAACAAGCTAAGGAGTTAGCTCGCCCGACAGATCACGTCCCGCAAATTTGGGCACAGGCCCTCGAAACGTACCAGCGTCATTCGATTTTTGTGCACTTTGTCGGGTTAGTCATTTGGTTGGTCCGCGGCAAACCAATCCGTGCTGACAGCTACCCAATGCCTTCAATCCGCTCTCCCTTACCGTGTAGTCGCCGCTGTCCGGTTTCCCTCTGATTGGCTCCAGTACAGCTCGCTAAAGCCCAATCAACAAAGTGAGCGAACAAAATGGCCGCAAATGAAGCAACCCAGTCGGGGGAACGGGGGAGGAGGGGAGGAGAAAACGTGGGAGGGGTGTGTTGCAGTGTCTCCAGGCGTCCAACAGATGTCGCAATCCGCACAAGTAGGGTTAACCGTAGAAACATCAATTTGGCCTCTAAAGTTCAGCGTCTGGAACTGAAGGACACGTCTTTCGTTATTTAATCGCCCAAGATGAGATACATATGGCTATGGTATTACATGATTTCTCTACTTTCATGTAAGTGTTTTGAAAGGCGGGGCGTTTTGTCGATTTATTTCGATTCTTCCATTGCCCGTATCTAATTTGTTCATATGCACTTGCCGTACAAAAACAGGAACTGGTTCGAGTAGCGAACGAATGTTATTTCCTTTAAAATGGATGTCAGTGAGGCACTCGTCTGCTGATCCACGAACAGGAGCACGACATTTTTTTTTCACGTTTGCCAACAAACAAGCGTCCAAGGCCTGCGACTGACGTCCGCCATGACCGCCGGACGTCTCTCTGTCCTCTCCCGGTGGATTCGAGCAGTAGCGACCTCGTCAGCGTGCATTCTCAAAGCGGTGCGGCCACATCCCCCCTCGGCGTTTTGCCGTTATGCCAGCAGCAAACGGGTGGGAAAGCCACGCGGAATTCAAAATAGAGCCCGCAAGGAAGAAGATGAAGATGAAGAAGACCCCATCATGGAGGAGGTCGAGGACAAACTCAACGCTTTGCTGGAGTAAGTTACATTTCGAAGTGTCATAACCACCAGTATTGATGAGTTATATTCCAGTCGACTCTATTACATCTACTACTGCAAGAGTTGAAGCGTAAATGAGCTAGTCCTATCTGAACATCATAGTGGGGCACACGCTAGATATACATAATATAACTGGAATATTTAGTAGACATTAATTTGTCGGACAATACAGCCAAACAAAATACGAGACATGATGCACAACACTTTGATCATTATTTCAAAACACTTTATCCTTAGGTGTAGAATTGAATGTCACCCACTGTTTTTGGTTTCTATTAGAGGTGCAATGATTAATCGAGATCTAGTTAACATATTAATGTAATTATTTTTTGATCAATATACATTTTTTTTTAAATCTACATTTGAAACTTTATGTGCTAATTTGACCCACGGAGTAAGAGGAGGGTTAATTTGTCTTACATTCCAGAATCTGTATTTCGGCCAAATAATTAAAATTCTGTTTTTCCTAGAGAGAGTAGGAAAAAGCAGCTGAGGATCAAATACAACATAATGGACAGGAAGATGACACCGTCAGGCGCTCCAGAGAGGACCTTGACTTGGGAGGCCATGGAGACCATCAGGTGAGCTCTATGGGGAGGACGCTGACTTGGATAAATAACGAGCGGTGGCTAGGAGACTAGACAAGTATTAGGTACCTCAACCCCAAACGTTCCTGCACACGAAAAGTTCCCGGATCCCTTAATCTGATCCATGAGATTAAGGGATCACAGATCCCTGGTTCACAAAGGTCCCCGGACCTCGAAGGCTCCTGAAGATGAAAGTGTCCCACAGTGCTGTGCACTTGAAAATGGCAGAGCTTCTGTTAGCCTACCTGCCAATTTAATGGGCAACGTTGCATTTGATATCATGGCTCCTGCTTCAGGTATCTAAAGCGAGAGCATCCAGACGAGTGGACGATTGAGCATTTGGCTGAAGGCTTCTCGGTTAGCCCCGCAGTGATCCGAAGGGTGGTCCGCAACAAGTTTAGCCCGACGGCTCAGAGGAAAGCAAAGCAGGATGCTAAGGTATGGTTGCAAAATTCCGTGAATTTTCAAAATCCTAAACTTTACATGGAAATGAACAGGAGTTGATGGGAATTAATTAGTAATAAACCAAACTGATGGACAAGAGAACTTAATGTATTTGTGGAAACTGCATTTTCACATAATTCTGACTGAAACAACCAGATTTCATACAGCGGTGACTACATTTACAAGTGCCCAAAGTTATACGTATTATTGATTTATTTGGTGAATTTGCTATTCTCACTAATTTACATTTTTGGCCGATTCTTCAGCTTGACATCCCACGGAGACTTATTAAAAAAAATTTTCACCCCTTTGCAATCCTTCACCAAGGTGATGTCCAGGCTTCAGCGTCCAGCATTGTCTTCGGGCGAGGCCGGAACAGAGCAAAGCCGACCAGAGCTGCCCGCAGGCCGCTCGCTCCGACAGTTCTTGCCTCCTGGAAAACTCGAAGCCGCTTTGGTTCCCGTGGATGTACGTACGCATGAACCCCCTACTAAAGCTTCCGCCCTCGTTACCGGTCCAGCGATGCTGCCAAGACGTCCCAAAGATGCCGCAGCCACGACGATGCGGCCAGGGGAGGACAGTTTGATTGACGTCGATCCGGCAGAGTCGCAAGATGAGACGTGGGATGGACGAGTGTTTTCTGAGGAAGAGCTTGACGAGTTTAGAGATACTAAGCCTGCGCCCGCGGTGCAAGTTGGGAAGGATTTCTTTGATGGCAACGGCCACTTTTTGTACAGAATCTAATGAGCACAAGATGCAACTGATTTGAATTTAGTCTATCAAATAAAATTTTAAAAAAGTGAAATACTCTCACTTGATGAAGAGTTGGCTCAAATTCAGATTTTTTTTCTCTTTTTTTACATTTGACGAGTTTTACAAGTGGCGCCCAAAAAGTCAACATGGAGTCACAAAGAACAATCAAAGTTTATTGGCAAACCCAAAGATAAAATTGCCTGATATGATACAAACAGCAGATAAAAAGATATTTACACGTAACCCTTATTAAATTATTCATCCTCTTTTTAGACGGTAAGAAGAATGTGATAACGTCACTTTTATTATGTTAGCCTCATAGCATAATTGCCTCGGTCATTTTGAGCTCACCGTCTCAGTATTTAGAAACAGTCATGCGTTTGTGAAAATTTGTGTCTGTCGATTCTCAGTCGCGCACAATGGCTGAATCGAGCCAACTGAACTCTGAATTAGTGTTTGTTTTGTCTTGTCAAGAAGGTTCAAAAATAACTCGGGCATTGATGCTATTAGGCTAACAATTTTTCAAATATGATCCACACCACATTTACTGCACTCTGAACGTGCTCAAAACAAATACATTAAAAAGAAGTGCAGATATCTCAAGAGGGGCGCGGGGGGGGGGGGGG